CCCAAAGCAGCCTCACCAAAGGTCCAGTCCCTGCAGGGGGCGGGGTGGGGGCGTGGTAAATCACTGCTGGCTTTACAAACCTGTGGTTTCCTCTGGCTCCCCAAACTTCAGGGGCCGTCTCAGCCCCTTCCGGCCCCCCCAGACGGGCGGTGCTCGGGGGAGAGGAAATAAAGACCCACCGTGATCCGAACAAAGTGTTTTTATAAACTCATGAAAAGAGTCCTTATTAGAAAGACTTAGGCGGGAGGCCGGCGTGGGGGCTGTGACGGGTCTGATCGCTTCTGCAGGCTCCTGGCAAGCGGCGGTCATTAGCAGCCGCGCTCTGGGCAGGCTCCGAGTCGGCTCCCCATCACGGGATTTTATGGGATTTGCGCACAGAACTTTCCTACAAAGCAAGGTATTATAGGGCAGATTAGGCGGTTCCAAAAAGCAGAGGTTCTGGCTCCCCTGTCTAATTTTTTTTAGAGCATTTTTTAAGAGGCCCCTCGTCAGGGCCTCCGTGGCCTCCCCCCCAGAACCCCTGGCTCCCACCAGCTCGAAAGCAAGCGTGCTTATACCAAAAGATCGCCGAGTGGGTTTTTCCTTGGGACTCTGCAGAAAGGCGTTTAACATGATGGGAATCACATGTACTATGCTATCACTCCACCACGGTCACCCAGAGACAGCCACTGGGAGCATTCTGATGTGCTCCTTCCCGTCCTCCCGCTGCGCGTGCCCCTGTGTGTGGTTCGTGCAGGGCGTGCCCGGGACGGGAAGACCAAGCGCCCGGGCAGGGGGACAAAGGAGCGGAGAAAAGGGAGCTGAAGGAAAACAGCTAACTCTGAATTCCATACCGGCCACTCGCGGACTCCGTGACCTTGGCCGAGCTGCTTGACCTTCAGTTCCACAGATCCAAACAGGCAATACAGACTCCCTCAAGGGAACCGAGTGGATTAAATGGAATTAAATTAAACCGCTCCGAAGCATTCCGTGTGCCGCCTGACACACCGTAAATCCTGGCCAAGCAGCGACAAAGGAAATGTGGATCAGTACCTCAGACTGGTTCTCTCCCAAAGCGGCACCACGCTGGCCACACAAATCTGTGTCCTGACGCTTTCAGGGTCTTGCTGCTGTGACTGTGGGAAAACAGGCATCTACTCCCAGGAGCTAAAAAAAAAAAAACCTATACCCTGCTCTTTTTTTTAAAGATTTTATTTATTTATTTTTAGAGAGGGAGATAGAGAGAGAGAGAGAAACATCAATGTGTGGTTGCTGGAGGTTATGGCCTGCAACCCAGGCATGTACCCTGACTGGGATTCGAACCTGCGACACTTTGGTTCGAAGCCCGAGTTCAATCCACTGAGCTATGCCAGCCAGGGCTATACCCTGCTCTTTAGACTACATTTTTTATGACGCGGTATACTGTCAATATCGTGCACGTGTGGGGTGTTCGTGGTCTTTTCCTCTGCAATCGACCGCCCCAGTGTGAGCCCAGCATGCACCTGACGGGCTGCACCACACCATCTAGTAGGTCTGATTATACGGTGTGCCCCAGCACCACCACTGCAAACAGCACCATTTGGACAGGCTACTTGGCCTCTCTGGACCTCGGTGTCCTCGCCCGCTGAACTAGATGGCCCCGGTTCTCCCTCAGCCGGTGGCTGCGACGGCTACCGAGCTAACCCTGTGCAGCGCGTGGTGCCACGGGCGCTCAGTAAAGATGCGGTGATAACTGTGATCACTCAGCTTCTTGCACTCACAAGCCCTGATCTCCATATGAGGAACAGAGGCACTTCTGTTTGTCTGCTTCCTACTTGTTTTTACAAACGGATGAGTGCAATCAATGTGCAATGAGACACTGCAATAATCGCCCCCATGGGGCTTGTCGACAGTGGAGCCAGGGCTGGCAGGCTCGGGGAGACAGGAGGCCAGATGTGGCCAAGGAAACTGAGTCCAGAGGATAGGGGGTGGGTGTGCGAAGCCGAGGGCCTCACCTCTGTCCTGTCCTCCTGCCCCCACCGAAGTTGTGGATGGGGCCTTCTCGGGCATCTCGGAGAGCCTTCTAGTAAATAGCAGAGGTGTAACCGATTTAGGGGGGTCCACTGCTGAGAGGCAACGGAGGGGAGACACCAGGGTCCCAAGTTAGACCCCGAGAGTTCTACGTCCTGCTTGACTGTGCACAAGCCTGCGGCCCCAGCAAAGTGGCTCAACAGCTGAGGGGTCTCAGCGTCCCCACCTGTTAGGACTCAAGAAGATACTACTTCTGAGGGGCTAGAAACAGCACCCAGGGGTGCGGTGAGCGCTCGGTGAACATTAGCTCACCCTAATGACTTCAATCCGTGATCGGGCTCTCAACGTCTCATTGCGTTTCTCTTTCAGCTTCTCAGGGAAACCCGTCTCCCTAGCGACTGCCTGTTTCTCACCGTGGACATGACCTTGGTTGGTCCCCACAAACGCATCTCCAGAAAACAGATGCTTCCCTGATTCCTCAGGTCTTCTTAGATTGACGTCTGCTGGCTGGACGGTGGTGGGCACCGGCAGGAATTGGCGGACCGCAGTGCACAGGCCGAGGCTGGCCCCGCCCCGCCGGCCCCACCCCGCTCGCCCCACTGGGGATTCGGGAGAGTAATGGGAAGGGGACCTGCCTGTGTGTGGCCCATGGTCGCAGGGGACGACGGGAGACAGAATTCCACGGAAAATGCTCTCCTGTGTGCGGGAGGTTTCCATGGTCTGAAAGGAGCCTTCTACCTGCTTTTTGATCATTTAGGTTTTTTTTTAATGGGTCCAGTCCTATTAGCCAGGCCTCACCAAGGAGAAAAGGGGCCCTTCTGGAAAATGTTCTGAATTAAAAGAAAAGGCATTTTGTGGGATTTTCAAATGTCTCTGACTGTTGCCGACCAGTGAGCCCTCCCCACAGGGATTTTCCCACTTGTCTGAAGCCCTGGTCCCCTCTCTGCGTCTCAGACAACTCACCTCCCCCCCCCCCAGGGCGTCCATCCCCACGAAGACCCTCCAAAGCAGCCCCTCTTCAAGTGCACGTAACACCGGTTTCCGCTGGACCAGGAGGTTCTGCAAATCCAACGCTTTCACTCAACGTTGCCAGCTGGTTCTGCTCGGAGCAAAGTAGCCAGTCGTACAACAAAGCCATGTGTGCACGTATGTGCACGTATGTGCACATGTACACGTATACGCAGCACACCAAGTCACCGATATTAAAATCCTGCCGACAGGAGTATCCCTTTGAGGAAAGGCTCCCCGTGAGAGGTCCCCGAGCTCATGCTCCTGGCAGCAGGGCCTCCAGGGGTCACTGCCCACCTGCCAATTACCTGGTCGCCATGGCCTCCTCTCCTGGACACCCCACGCTGCCTCCTCACCACTGTCCCTGTGCGCGCCCTTGGTTTGCCCCAGGCTGCTCTGGACCCAGCAGCAGAGCGCTGCTTCCAGAACACGGATCCCATCCGCCTCCTCTGCTCCTGTGGCACAGAAACTGAGATCACAGTCATCCCGTGGCCTGTGCGGCTACCCCCTGCCCGTACTTCCCAAACTTTAGCGCATGCAGGAAGCACCTGGGGGCAGAGGGGAAGAAAAGGCAGGAGCTGGCTCAGGGGGCCTGGGCCAGGGCCTGAGGTTCAGCATGTCCTGCCTGCCCATGCCAGGCGCCCCTGATGAGCCCTGAGGCCCCAAGGGCAGCCCCCCCCCCAAGCATCCTCCTGCCTCTGGACTTCCTGTGCCTCCTTTTGGGGTTCTTCACCCAGATTTCCTCGGGTTTCTCTCCCCACTCCATTCAGGGCTCTGCCCCGTTGTCACCTCAGGGAGGCCTCTCCTGGTCACCCTCCATAAATAGCTGCCCAACCTCCCGACCCCCATCACTCTGTCCCCGAAGGGACCCCATTTCTCTCTGCCGCGACCCTGCTTGTATTCTTCCTGGCGGTCTTCTCCTTCTGCCCACAGGGCAGAGACTTTGCTGTCCTTCCCACAGCTGTCCCTCCAGCATCCAGGACAGGGCCAGGCACAGAGCAACCGCTCAGCAAGTACGTGGTGAACGCACGAGTGAGTGAATGAATGAGTGCGTGAATGAGTGAGTGAGTGAGTGAGTGAATGCATGAGTGAGTGAATGAACGAATGGAGATACACATTTGAAGGATTTCACTACCCTTGCTCCCCAGGCTTTGCGTCAGTGACTCAGGGTCTTCACTGGGTGGACCACAGGTCTGACTTCGCTTACGAAACACAAGTTAAAGACGAAATTACCAATCACAAGATGGTGACCTCAGAGCACTCACCCAAATACAGAGCCCTTCTGACCTCGGGGCGCTGGGCCACCAAACGGTCACATGCTCTCCAAGCCACCACCCACCCTCCAGCCAGCCCCCACCCTTGAAAAGCTCCCAGTCGGAAAACCAGTGATTACAGTGCAGTGTGACTGTGCTGGGAGGGACGAAACTGTGGGGGCCAAGAGGACGGACCCCCAGGCCAGCCTTGGCTGGGGACAGGGACATCGGGGACTGAGCGGGGAACTGGGAAGAACTTCCAGGAACAAACACCACTTTGCAAAAGGAATAGGGGTTTACTTGGCCAAGGAGAAAAGGTCCCGGGGAAAAGGCTGCCGGTGGGTGTGGGGCGGAAGGTGCCGGGCCACGCGGGGAGTGCCCAGCCCAGCTGGGCAGCCCAGGGGCACCGCCGAGTGGCAGCCATGCGGCTCTGACTCCTCAGCAAGACTAAGAGGCCCTGGCCAGCAGGGGCCACCTACGAGCTGGCATCTCCGGAGCTCTGGTATCTAATCCTATTGCCGTTACTATCCTCCCTCTCCCAATGCGGAAGCTGGAAACGAGAGCTGGGACGTGGCAGAACCAGGGTCGGAACCAAAGCTGCCAGAACCCCAAGCCCGAACTGTTGGTGGCCAACGGGCACCGGGTGTTCCTTAGACGGGTCGAGTCAGACCGGACCCCCGTTCAGCGACCTTGGTACTTGAGTTCTGGCTGAGAAAGAATTCAGAGCGAAGACTCGAACTAGAAGGGAAAGTGTATTTGGAAGGTCACAGAGGTAGAAGGAGTGAGCGTGCAGGAAATGGGCTCAGGAACAAGTTACAGAGGCAAAAGAGGGGCGCTCGGAGCTCAGGGGAGAGAGAGGCAGGGAGACCCCGCCAAGGGGGCGGGCTGGACACAGGGGCACTGGGCCCTGCTCTGGAGGGCATTTATCTGGAGGTCTCAGGGGCGATCCCACACGGTACTCATCAGCTTTCCAGGAGTGTCCTTTCAGGGCCGTGGTCCCTACTGATTGGTCCACACCAGGGCCACAGGTTATTGGTCAATGTACATCTTGATTGATGTCTGTCAACCAGGGCGTCGTTCCGTGTGGTTTTGCTGCTTTTCTGAGCCTGCGGCTGACACACATCCGAGGCTCAGGCCTCGTCCCCAGGGGTCGATGTTCAAGGGAGTGGTCGTGCAGGGGCCCGCATGCCAGTCCCACGAGGCCACTCTCCGGCCCCTTGTTCCTCCTCCGAGGAGGTCTGCCACAGGCCTGGCAACAAGCCAGGGGAGGAAAGGTCAGGGAGGGTCTGGACCACGTGACCAGTTATATTTATGAAAGGTCAGGGCCCTAAACCACAGGACCAGCGATACACTAGGGGAGGAAAGGTCACGGGGCAGCAAGGTCCTTGCTTTCCCAGTTCTGCCCGTTGCTAGGCACCCGGGGCTTTCCGCCCTGGTGACCTCTGTACCTGGCCCAGCGTCCTAGCCCTGCTCCTGCCGGCTGACTGCAGACCACACAATCACCCCGCACGGCTCCGCTCCCCTCCCACCTGTCTTGCCTCAGCCTCGGTGGCCTGTCTGCCCCTACAGGGGCCGCCCAGGTCGAGGGCTGGAGGCTGGCTGGCGGATGGGTTGAAGGGGTGAGTGAGTGAAGGGCACCCCAGCTCCTCCAGCTTCCTCTTTCTTCCCCATTAGGTGCCTGTGGAGCTGAGGAGAGCCACCAGCCCAGGACAGTGAGGACTCAGTGCAGAGGAGGGATGGCTCCTGGCGGGGGGGGTGGTCAGAGGGGCAAGAAAGCCTGCGTGCAGGATGGAAATGAGGAGGCGCCACGGATGGGCAGCACTGGGAGGCTCTGGCACAACCACCTGCCCTTGGACTCCTGCTCCCCCACTGCTCCCACCCCGGATGCTGGTCCCAGAAGCCCAGGCCAGGAGCCCAGGGACCTGCCTGTTTGAGGAGCTCCCTGGGCGATCGATCCTGTGTGTTCTGGGGGAAACCCAAGCATAAAGCAGACAGAGCTGAGCGTTCGGCCACGGTTCAAAGCCCACCTCCATCTCTTAGCTGTGTGATCATTGAGTGACTTTCAGTTCTCCAGGCCCCGGATAGGTAGAAGGTAGAAGGCGAGGCTTGAGACCCATGGATCTGTCCAGCTCTCAGCGGAGACCGTAACTAGGAAAGGGCCCGGTTAAACAACTGCACGTGAGCATTGGTGTCTTCGGCACTGGGGTTGCAACAGTAAGAAAAAATAAAAAGATGGGGCTTGGCCCTGGGGATGGGGGGTGGGAGAGGACTGGCGACAGCCTGGTGGCCCATCCGGCAAGGGTGGCTGTCTCGGGGGCCCACCTGTAATCCTGGCACTGGCTGACGGGGGCCAGGAGGCGGCTCCGCCCACCCTGTGGAGCCCTCCCACCTCCAGCGCCCACCCTGGGCTGGGAGAGCTGAGTCATGGAAAAAGTTAGCTCCTCAGGCTGTACCCTCCCTCCCTCCTCCATCAGGCCCACAAAGGCTCCTTTCACTTTTTTTTGGGGGGGGGAGGGGGGACAGACTGTGGGGCCCTCTCCCCAGGCTGCAATGTGAAATTTCAAACTTCGCCCTGGAGTTACATTCCCCGCCCCCTGCCCCAAAGGAAACTAAGGGAGGAGGAGATACCAAGAGCAAAGGACCTGGGATGGGGGCAGGGGGGGAGGGGCGGGAGGGGCGTGTCCCCTGCAGTTCTTGCTAAAGCCAGGCCACAGGGTCCCTCCAGGCTGGCCTGCCAGCCAAACTGTGCACCCTGTCCCTGCTTCCCTGCCCCCCCCGCCCCCCTTTGTGCCCCTTGCCCTCATCTTCCTGGAGAGCTTGGAGGGGGCTCAGGGACATGACAGCCCCTCTGCGGAGCAGCTGGGGACGGAGAGGCCGGGGGCTCACAGGGATGCCAGACCCACAAACCCACATCCTGAAGGGGAACCAGTAGAAGAAAAGGTGTCTGCTTCCCGGCCACAGTCCAGTCCCACCTCCTGTTAGCACTGCCCGACACTTTCCTTTTCACTCTGAGTTCAGCCCAAACCGAGATGGTTGGGGGAAGCAAGGGGAGCCCCTGTGTGGCCTTGCATGAGTTACTTAGATTTGCGGAGCCTCTGTGTCCTCCTGAGAAATGGGTGCAGGGGCACCCACCAACCTGGGCTGTGCAGGAGATTCAGTGAGGATGTGTGTGAGGGGTGTGATGCAGTGAGTCGCAGTTGGGGTTCTCAGACCCCTTCCCGCTCCGCGGAAATCGTTAGGTAGGACCCAGTGGTCACCCGGTTGGTCCGGCACCTGAGCAGGGTGGGGGCAGCTGGCTGGGGATCAGGGAGTTACACTGCTGTGTGTATGGGTTACTTAACATTCCTGTGCCTCAGTCTCCCCATAAAGCAGCGGCTGTGTGGGGAGGGCAGGGCTATGTGGTCTTCAGGAGCCTTCGGAGACCTGGAAGGAAGGTAAGTTGGCTGGAGGCTGGGGCAGCTTGGAGGCACAGTGTCGCGTCCTGGCCACTAGGCGGCCTCGAGGATAACAGATGAGACCAGGCAGCGCGGCCCCCTTCCAGCTCTAGACTTTGTGAGTTGTCTTCTTGGCAGGCCTGGGCCGGCACCAGCCACCGCGGGGTGGGAGAGGCCTGTCTCTCCAGAGTTAGGGTCTCTTTTCCCTTTTTACAGACCTGCAAGGGAGGAGGCGGCGGCAGTCACTCCGACGGAGTCCTGACTTTACCGGTGGCCGGGAGTCCGGAGAAGGCAACGGCAGGCCTGCCTGCCTTCGGGTCCTATTCTGGGGGGGTTGGATGGAGGCAGAAGGGAGCCTCATCCTGCACCTCCCTGCTCCCTCCTGCCTGAATGGGGTGGCTGAGAAGAGGAACCCGGTCTGGATTCGGATCCCTCCCTCCTGCCCTTCCTGGTGGGGTCACCTGGCAAATGGGGGTGTTGGGACCCCACTGCCAGGTCAATGGGAGAGTCAAAGTCAGAACATAAGCTCTCAGTGCAGGACAGTCAAGCCCCTCTCCCAAACCCTCCTCGCTCCCCCAGCTGCCCTCCGGATAACTAGTTTCCCTCCCAATTCATCTGGAGGGAAGACCCTCCCCTGCAGAACTTCTCCCCAGATCTAGAGGGTCTTTGCTGTGGAGGAGGGGGTCACCCCCAGCCTCACCTCCCCAAATGAGAGTTTCTCAAAGACTTTCTCTGAGGATCCCAGCAGCGTCACCAGGCAGAGACCGTCGGACAAGCCGAACCCGGTGCACCCAGCCCGGGCTGAGTAAGAACGCAGGGGGTGAGGCCTGGACACGTCTCTCCGCAGAACCGCTGCCCCAGATTACAGGGCAGCTCCCTGGCTTCCTCTCTCTCCGCCTGGCCTGGGCCCATCAGGGGCAGCAGGAAGCAAGTCCCATCAGCACTTTTAACTGGGGCTTCTCTTTAGTGAGTCACCTCCCAGACTTCCTGCAACAGACAGCTCTAAATAGCTGGGTCCCACCCTCCAGCAGGGGAGGCGTTCTTCATGGGGGAAGACGGGACGTTGCAAGGTAGGGTGCCCAGCTAGGGCAGCCCATGGAGACCCAAAGAGAGACACTGCTGCCGGCACTGCACGGAGGGGACACTGGTCGAGGACGTTTTGTTTACAGGCTTTTGTTATTAAGGAAATTGCTGTCAGTCAAGGTAATTCTAGCCCAGATGAGCAATAAATACGCTCCCACCTAATCTTATGGGGATTTTATTGGCACCTTGGGGGCAGAGGTTCCTCTACCCTGCCCACCCTTTCCCCTCACAGCAAAGCCCTGCTCCCCAGCTGTTTCCCCCATCAACGTGAGAAACTCGGAGCAGCTTTAGAAAGTGCAGTCCGAGTGAAGACAGAGACGGCCGGGCAAAGGTCGGGAGTGGCTTCCTGGTCCTACCTGCAGGCAGGGGGATGAAACGGATAACTTGAAATAAACCCTGGGCGACCTGGTTGGATCAAGGCATGCGCAAGCTCCCCCAGGCCTGCTCGGAACGCAGGGGCAAATCACCTGGTCCCCCAGGCGCCCTAGCTCAGCAAGACCGCGTCCTGGACAAGGAGGAATGTCTGAAGGAGGGAGCCGGTTCGCAGGAGTCGATTACGGCGTGTTCGAGTTACCGCTGCGAGCCCTCGGAGGCACCGCCGGCAAGTCCCGGCTTGCAAAAAGGGGAGCCAGCCTCGGGAGAGCTCGAGTCGGAGCGAGCCCGTGTGTGTGTGTGTGTGCGCGCGCGCGCGTGCGCGCGCGCCCCGCGACAGCGCAGGGGGAGGGGAAGCAGCGGCAGCCACTCAGAAGAACCGGAGTGAAGCCTCCGACCAACTTTAACTGTCAATCAGAGTTAATGGGGTATTAAAAAAAATGGGGGGGAAAAAGGCCGCCCTCTAGCTCCGCGCCGCTGCCGCCTCGGGAGCGAATGAATAAGGCGGCGCAGACCCGGGCGTCCGATCCACGCGCGCTCCGTACCCAGGCCCTCTCCAAGTTGGAAAGGACAAAAAGAAGGCAATAAATGCTAACGAGGGAGAGAGAGGGAGCCGGATCGAGCGGCAACTCCCAGACTCTGCTGGAAGAGAGAGGGAGGGAGCCGGAGAGAGCGAGCGCGCGCGAGGGCGAGCCATGCACGTAAAGAAACTGACACCCGGACCCCCCACTTCTGCTGCACGTTGCTGGCAATCAGAGCGCGTTTAAGCAATTTCCTGAGCCCAAGAATAGCAATGAGTCGGGAGACTTTCGCGGGCTGAAATTGGGAGCTCCAAGCACTTTTCCCCCACTTTTTTTTTTCCTGGAGAAGGGGTGGGGGTGCCGCTACAATTTGGAAACTGCTTCTTTTTTTTTTTTATCTTGCACTTTGAAACCGCGGGACTGTGGCGGGGTGCGCGCGTGTGGTTGGTGCCCTTTTTTTTTTTTTTTCTCCCTTCCCCTGCCTAAACTCCTCTGTCAGCCTGTAAACATTACCTGCGAATTCCCCAGCCGAAACGGCGGCTGGGGCAAGAAACTTCTTGTTAGAACTTCCCACCTCCGGCTTCTCCTCCACCCGCCTTACTGTCCCAACCTTCTGAGACGCTTTTTCTCCTCCCCAGGAGGATTTATCTTTTTTTTTTTTCCCGTTCTTCTTTTTCTCACCGGGTGCTTTGCATTTGAGAAGAAGTGATTTCAAGAGTGGCCAGGTGGGACGCCTCTCTCCCCCTCATTCAGTTTATTTATATATTTTTTGAGGTGTTTTATTTTTTTTTTCCATTCCTGTTCGGTCCGGGGAGTTTCACCCCACGCCCTGCCCGGCTCCGCGGCGCGGAGGATGGTGTGGAAATGGCTGGGCGCGTTGGTGGTGTTCCCTCTGCAGATGATCTATCTGGTGGCGAAAGCAGCCGTCGGACTGGTGCTGCCCGCCAAGCTGCGGGACCTGTCTCGGGAGAACGTCCTCATCACCGGCGGCGGCAGAGGCATCGGGCGCCAGCTCGCTCGCGAGTTCGCAGAACGCGGCGCCAGAAAGGTACGTGGGCAGTGCGAGTCCGGGGGGTGGGAGCCGGAAGGTGAGAAAGGCCCCCGGGGGCGGACGCCCACCTGCTGCGGCGGTTGGAGCCCGCGCCCGGGCGCCGAGAGTCGCCAGCCGCCCGACCTCTCTGCGCCACCGGCGAATGCTGAGCTAGTCGGTTTCACCTTGTAAATTTCCCGGGCGCCGGGACTGTCTCTTTTGGCAAGTCCCGAGCTGATCCGCTCCTTGAGGATCGGTGGCTGGCGGGCCGCTCACCCCCACCCCGAAACTTAGGAGACCCACCCATTTCCCACATTCCTCCCTCCCGGAGGAAGGTGCCGCGTTCCCCCTCCTCACTTCCCCTCTGTGCCACCACCCTGGTGAGTGCAGGGTGTGTGCGCTTCTGGGGAGAGCTGGGAGCCAGCGCCTGCTAGCTGGCTCTCGGTATTTTCCTTGGCAACCCGCTTCCCAACCCCAACCTGGGCGGCTGAAGCTCTGGCGGAGGCACGGAGAGAGGGGGCGCTTGGTCTGGGTTTGAAGAGGGGGAAGCGGTCTTGGATGGTCTAGTTCGGACTGACGGGCTCTCGCAGGCCCAGGTGTTTGCAAATCTGGAGCGAGGGACCCAGAACGGCAGCTGATAAAGAGCCCTTGTTCTTACCTTCAACCCTGCCCCCCCACCCCCCACCCCGCCGCCCTCCTCAGAGGGGGGATCCTTTTCTCCAAGCTCTTGCCTTTAACTTTTTAGGAGCCCCGGCACCTCTTCCCCCAGTTCCCCCAGACCCGGTGCGGGAGAGTGGGGAGGGTGAGCAGCCGGCTGTCACCCAACTCCGACCCGAGCCAGGCTGACTCACCCAGCCCTGTGAAGAGGAAGAGCAAAAACAGGGAATTCGTTTGAAACTTAAACTGTTGAGAGCCGGGGGTGGGGTGGGGGTGGGGGGGCGAAAGGGCCCGCGGAGCCAGCTGATCTGACAGGGGGCCACATACCTAGGAGATTAAGTAAATATGTACTGTAGAGGACCAAACCTGCATGTAATTCCAGGTTGCTTTTGTTTTGTTAAATACTGCCCTGAGATTTACAATTCCTCCGGGGTGGCTGGGACTGGGACTGAACTTTGGAGCCACAGCTATCAGCCAAAGCTGATTGCCATTAACTCTTCCCTCGCCGGCCAGCGGGGGCCTGTCCTGGCCCAGCGAGCAGGGGTCGGCTGTCCGGGGCTCCTGCCTCTCCTTGGGTGGTTTGGACAGCTGCTTGACCTTGCAGTTGGAAGGGGAGTTCGGAAGTGGTTTTAACCCTTGGACACATGGAAAAAGGAGAAGTAACGCTTGTTCTCAGTGGTTTCGTTTCTTTGGGGTGATGCCCCCCGGGGAAGGACTCCCAAAGCCCTTTGCGGAGGGGGATCAGGAGGGCAGATGAGGGTGCCCTTGCTGGGGGCCGTGGGTCCGGGACAATCGCGTGTGATTGTCATTCCTTAGCTGTCTGCACCCCACAGAAACTTCTCTTCTGACGCTTCCAGCTGGCCCAAGTCCTGGGTCTCTTTTACTGCGCTTGTAACTGGCTGCAGTGGGCATAGGAAGGACTCTTTGAGTCGGTGTGGAAAAACTTGACTGACTATAAACAAGCCTAAACTGAAAGAAGGATGTGACCCTGGGGGGGAGAAGAGTGCAGAGAGCCCTGGGAACCGCGCCCACCTCTCTTGGAATGGACCTGCTCTTCCAGGGAATAACCCCAGGGCCACTCGGAAGTATGCCTTAAATTGGTGCCTGATCCCCAGAGGCAGGGTGCAGGGCTCCTGTGAAACTCCCAGTGCCACGCACCCTCCTCGCGTCTGTCCTCGGAGTAGTCAGGATGCCCAGGAGCAAGCGCGCCCTATCACTCATCATTGTCTGACCAATTACTGGAGCTGCTTTTTAATGAGCCGTCCTCTCGCTGCCACCGTGGGAAATTTGGAGTGCAGGCTTCTGGCCTGAGTCTTTCTGGGGCCAGGGAGAGGGCCTTGGGACAATCTCCAGACCTAGGGGTGTTTGGGCACCGAGGGGCAAGTGTTTGCGGCGTGGGGAATTTCTGGGAGACTGCTCAGGGGGTCGTGTGCACAGCGTGGGCTTCGGGGCAGCCCTGGAGCGGCCGGAGAGAGAGCTGGGGAGGGCCCTGCCCAACCCTGCAGCCTGCGGTGGGGTGAGACCGTCAAACTGAGGGTGACTCTCCTTCCTCGGGGGGAAGTAGAGGCTGCACCTGGGAGTGCTTCCGGCGTGGGTTTGGGTGGGATTGGACTCGGAGGGGAAAGGCCCCCCCCAGAGAGAAGGAAAGAAAGAAGAACTGAGTCTCTGCATACAGCTGGCACATTCCGGAGAGGTCTGTTTACTTTTCAAAGGGGGGGGGGTGACAATCCAGTTTCACATAATGACCTTGAGTCAAAAGGGATTTGGCAATATTTGTGGGCAGCAGTGTGCCTTAGGCTGTAAAGGTGACCCAAATAAGGGTTTTTCTTAAAGGGACACAAAGGCTCCGGGAATGGGGAAGTCCCCCACCTGGAGACAGGTCTCCCCCCACCAGGTACCAGGGTTACCGAGGCAGGACCCCCGGGTCATGGTTAGGGTCTCCAAGGGGAAGGCTTTCCTTTTCATTTTCCACGTCCTCCTGGAATTCCTCCCACGGAAGCATTTATAGAGCATTTGGGCCCATCCCTCTACCTCCCTGCCCCCAAAGGCTCCTGGCTAGGCAGCTGGCCCAGCCTCCAAAGTCTTTGACCTTGACAGGGCTTTAGCGGGAGGAGGGGAAGGAGGAGCGCACTGTTTGTTTGGAAGCATTTGCAGTGGCTGTTCCAGCCTTCGGTCCAGTATGAGGAAGTGGCCGGACTGGAGCTCCAGGCCGTGACTGCAGGCCTGCAGAGGCAGGGGCCACATACCAGGGCCTGACCCCTCGGTCGGGGAGGGGTAGAGCTGGGACTCAGGGATGTATTTCGGGGAGGCGGTGTGAGAACGGGCCCGCAGTGGCCTCCGCCGTGCTGTTCTTGAATTTCTAGTGCATGGGTCTATAACCCTGTTCCTAACGCAGCCAGCCAGGAACTAACCTCCTATACAGATTTGTGACTCCTGTGTCCCATCACATCCATTCAGCAAATGCCATATTCTTCCCATTCCAGCCCCGGGGGCGGGCCCAGGCCCAGCTGTCCCATCTCTGCGAGACCTCAGCAAGCCTTCCAAGCATACCTGCCAGGTGTTGGTGCGGCTCTGGGTCTAGGCTGGGGCTGGGGTGAGGGTAGAAGGATGGGCCCAAGCTCTATATGGACTCCAGATTCTGCCTGCGTCTTCTCTATCTCTCTTTGTGTCTCTGTGTCCCCTCCTCTTCTGCCGAGGACACAGCCATTGAATTTAGGGCACGTGCCAAGTTCACTATGACCTCATCTTGACATCCTTAGCCAATGACATCCCCAAAGACCCTCGTGGACAAAAAAGCGGCCCCTACGCAATCTGACAAGTGCAGGGGAGGCCAGCACGGTGAGCCCTACAAACTCAGATGGAAAAGAACCGTAGAGGAAGGTCTAGACGTAAACTTCCTAGCTGAGAGCAAGTCTTGGTGGAAGTCGCATCCTGGACTCATAGCTCCCTGGACCCTGTTAACTGAGCCTGTCCGTTGTCATGTTGCGTCTGAGGGAACAGACCTGTGCAGTGGCAGAGTCGTCTCCCTGTCAGGCCCCTCAGGGCATTCCCGCCACACAGAGCAGAGACCGCAGGGCCCTCGCAGTTATCTCGTTGCCGGAGCTCCAGGTCTGCACGCCGTAAATGTCAGTCCAGACTGCCCTGTACACCGACTAGTGTGAAAGAGGCGTGTGTTTCTCTGTTTTGCTTTTTATGCAACCCCACAGATTTCCCCACTTTGCTTTCTCCAGCCCCCTTAGTCTATCACCAGTGGATTTCATGTAACTCTCCTTACTTTTCTCCTTTTTATTTTATTTTACTTATTTACTCTTGGGGGGGGAGAGAAACATCAATGTGTGAGAGATACATTGATCGGTTGCCTCTCACATGCTCCCAACCCGGGCATGTGCTCTGCCTGGGTATCGAACCTGCGGCCTTTTGATTCACAGGCCAGTGCTCAGTCCACTGAGTCACACCAACCAGGGCATCTTCTCCTTTGATTCTGATGTAACATAAGCTACAAAACTGCCATTCTGCATGAGCCATTTTCCCCATCCCTTGAGACTTTGTTTCCCAGCCATTGTTCTCAGTTTGGCTCAAATAAACTCAGAAAGTTCTCTACAGGCTGGGAAGTCTCTTACCTCAACACCCTATTTCCCAATAAGGCCACTTTCTGAGGGTCCAGGTAGACGTGACTTTGGGGGGGTGGGCGCGCTACACAGAGGAAGCCCAGTGGCGCTGCTCACCTGCGCAGGGAAGGCTTCATGAGGGAGGCGGCCTTTGAGTGAGCCTTGAAGAAGGTCAAGAGCTTCAACCAGAAGGAATGCGAGACGGGAGGGCGATGCAGGTGCAAGAAACCACGCGACCAAAGGCTGCGTACCTGGCTGAAGTTGGGGGAGGGAGGTGGAAGGCAAAGACAGAAAATATCCCAGGACTTGAGAGGTGAGCGGGGAGTGGGTTTCTCAGACTCCCAGTTCGGCCAGTCCCGATGAGAATAGAAAAAAGGAGGAGAGGCGAGGGGTTCGAGCAGTGATCTTGTGGGACCCAGAGCCATCAGGGCCAAGTCCCTGCATGAAACAGTCGAAACATAGTGAAGGTCAAGGAGGCTGGGGGGGGGGGGGGCTTGGGAGACAACTTCTCCCTGAGTGCAGCCTTTGCGGGGAATTTCTGGGAGGAGCACTGGGCTCCTGCTTGGGAGCCGGAGGGCAGGCCACCTGTCCTACCTGTGGCATCTGGGGAAAGCCTTTCCGCCTCTAGCACCCAGTCCCAGGGTTTCAGACAATGGGCCTTACAGTTCGGCCAGTCTCTGGGAATAGACAAGCACCTCCCTCCTACTGCCCCGCCTCCTTCCTCTGGGAACAGACTCGGCCACATCCGGGGCC